GGGCTGGAGGGATGAGGCCGCAGTACACAGGGATGAAGGTACTGCAGACGTTGGCCTGTGGGGCAGGGACAGAGAGGACGTGGTGAGCAGGGACGCTGAGCTCCTACGGTGCCCGATGCGGGATGCGGCCCACCACGGCCCACCTGGATGAGCTCGTCCTTGGAGCTGAAGTGGGATATAATGACGTTCTCGCCATCAGAGACGCGGGTCAGGGAGATGCCCAGACGCCCGCTGGCGCGCTCATGGCTGTCAGCAGGCAGGGTCTTCAGCAGGCAGCCACGGATAGTCTTTACCAGGTTGAAGGAGGGGTGCAGTGGACCCAGGAACCGCTTCCGGGCCTCCTTAGACACCTCGATGATGTTGGCACCTGCCTCGCCTGGGTGAGCAGGGCCAACAGTCAGGGCTTGCCACCACCTCATGGTTCCATGCCCAGAGCCACAGCACGCACAGCCACGGCACCTCCATCTACCCTGGAGAACTCCCAGTATCCATCACGAGGCCTGGCCCATGACGGGGACTCTTGCTTCCTGCCCCCAGAGAGACAGAGGTAGGCTACCACCCCTGGAGGGCAGACAGCTGGGGCCAAGGCCTTCCCTCTGCCCAGTATTTCCCAAGTGCTTGCCCTGATCCATGAGTCACTGGGCCTGACCTGGCGTGGCCCCCAGCCTGTGAAGGGGGGGGGGGGGAGGCAGAGGTTCAACCCTGACCAGCCTTAGCCTTCACACACTTGGCCAGACCCAGGGAGTCCAGCACAGGCCTGTGGGCATGGGATTGGAAAGAGTGGGGTCCCACTGCCCCTGAGAAAGCACCCCCAACACTCTTCTTGGACAGAGCCCGCCATGCTGTGGAGACTGTAGCTGCCCAAGACCGCTCCTGAAAAAGAGGCTCCTTGGGGGTAAGAGGGGGTGTCCTGGGAGCCACCTCCACGGCAGTAAGTCAGGTGTGGCCCGAGGCCAGCACGCAGGTATGACAGACGCTGGCTGGAAGGCTTCCAGAGAGGGAGGGGCAGGGCCCCCAGGTCCCAACCCAGCCCCTCAGGGCAAAGGTCACTGGAAGGGGGCAGTGGAGAACCCCGAACAGGCTCCTGCTGGGCAGGGCATTCAAGGACCTGTTGACCCTTCTGTCACCCTGGCTGCCCTAGTAGCTGGGGGCCGGGCACCTTTCCCAGGACTCCTGAAGTACTCGGTGTGCTGTAAACAGCACTTGACGCGCCTGCCTGAAGTGCCTGTGAGTAGAGAAGGCCATCCCGGTGCACACCCACCTCTGCACTACCGCTGGAAGGGCTGGAGGGCCCGGAAGCACCCCTCACCCCAGGGGAGTGGGTTGGCCACACCTGGGAACCCAGGCCCACAGTGGGCGGTGGGCAACGAGGGAGAGGGTGGGGAAGAGTTTGCCTTGCCCAGGCCCTACCGGCCAAGTTCCTCCTCCAGATGCCCTGGGAGGCACCAGGCTACGGTACCCAAATACTCTTCAGAGGCCACCCCATACAGGGCCCCAGGAACAGCGTAGCCCCAGGACACAGTGACCTGGGCCACTGCCGGGCTACCGGGGTAGTGAGGCCCCTCCCCCGACTCTCACGGTCCCGCCCACGAGTTACTTTCTCTTTCCAATGAACTACCTTTTGCTGCACCTGTCCGTCCTCCAGCCTTTGCGCCCTGAAAGGCCAGAGCCTCGGCCCCAGAGGCGCGCGTGGCCCCACCCCAATCCCTGGGCACCTCGATGCAAAACAAACCAGGCCCCGCCCCCGGGCCGGCGCCCGAGCTCGGACCTTCCACCCGGGTCCTGGGCGCGGGCAAAAGACCCCTCCCCACCCGACCCGCGCCCCTGCCAGCTTCCCGGAGCGGACGGGCCGGGGCGGGGGGCGCTCTACCCTCTGGAAGAACATCCGCCCGGCCTCCGCTCACCCCGGCAGGACCCCTGCCGGATCCCGGCCCCGTCCCCTCACCCAGGCAGGCCCCCTGTCCCGCCCGCTCACCTGGCAGGCCCCCTGTCCCGCCCCCTCGCCCAGGCAGGACCCCGCGCCGGATCCCCGCCCCGCCCCCTCACCCAGGCAGGCGCCGGTGACCAGCGCCGTGGCGGTGAGCGCCCCGGCCGAGGCGCCGTAGATGTGCGTGGCGTTGGCCACCAGGAAGGGCGCGTGCTCGCGGAGGCAGGAGGCCACGCCGATGTGGTAGACGCCCAGGAAGCCGCAGCCCGCGAACGAGATGTTCCACGTCGCCTCCTTGGGGAACATCGCTGCGGCCCTCCGGACTCCGGGGCTCGCTGCGCGCCGCGCGCTCCCGCTCGTTCCGGGGCCGGGCCGGGCCGGGCCCGCGGTCGCTCTAGCTCGGGTCCCCGCCTGCGGAGGCGGAGACGCTGTGCCTGGCGGTGGCGGAGGCGGTGTTTTTAGTGGGGGCGGGCGGGGGCGGGGCCAGCACGCGCCGCCCAATCGGAGCGCGCGGGGAACGGCCGCGCCCTCCGGGGGCCTTGGGGCCCCGCCCCCGGGCCCGAGACCCAGTGCCCGGCCTCGCGGGGAAGCTGGAGGGAACACACAGTGGCCCAGGGGTGTAGGGAGGGGGAGCGCAGGCCTGGGGCGCGCGGAGTCTGGGGGCCCGAGAGCCTCGTACAAATCCGGAGACTTGC